TGTATCGTAGACTAAGTTACTACGAACGGTTTCTAACGTCGAACCCGAAATTGTATTGCGCTTCTTTGTTCCGCATTGCAGTCCCGTACAAGACTGTATGAATAACGCACAGTACCGAGCCGACTGACTGCAAAGACCGAAGGTTTTGGTATTTTGTACACACGCTCGTTGGACTTGGTACTAAGCGATGCGTTTGTTGTACTAGCGGTAACGATATTTATGTTTACTACATACATTTGGTCCGGGAACTTTTCAGATATGCTGTGTGTACACAGATATACACAGATAATAGATATTACGGAAGACTAAACCGAAATAACGTGAACTATGAAAAACGCTGTTTAAATATTTAGTGGTGCATTTTTATCACTCTCGATTTCGAGTGCTTTATGTTCACGAGTATAACGAAAACACAAGAGCACCGGAGCTCTGTCACTAGATTCGAATTCCCCTCCCGGCTGACTTGTTGCTGTTACAATTTGTCATTGTTTTTAAAAAAAAAAGATAAGAAATTGAACGAATAAAGTTTTTTATAAACCAGTAAAACCGTTTTCGATATTTTTTCTAATATGTAAATAGACGGTAGGTCGGAGGTTTGAAGTTCAAAATTCTTAAAGACACATCCATAACAAACATTTTTTTTATTACATAATATATATATATATATATATTGTATATGCATTTTAACCAAAGTACTTATTTTCATTAGTCTGAAGGATGTTTAAAACAATATTTCCTACGTCCCTATTTCCATTGAAAACGTGAAATCTGAGCATAAAACTGGTTGGAGAGGAGTTTGAAAGTTGAAACCACCAAAAAACACGTCCCCGATACTTAACACGCGTAGGTATACATTAATTTCATTCAGTCAGATTGTTATCTGAAGTGATAACATTCTGAAGTAAAAGAAAAAACTTTTAACATAAATTTGAGCTTTTTTGGTCCATTAAAAGTGCCTAAATATACCGGGAAAACGATATATTGGTATATAAACACAAATTTAATAACAGTACATTACATTATAGTAGTCTCTATTTATTTCGGAGAAAATTCGACAAACAACGCAATAATATAATACAATAACACAGTCAATGTGAAACTCCGATACATAATATTTATTTATTTTTTGATTTTAGGCGTTAGGACGATGAGCGGTTTGTTAGTTCCTCCGCCGCCACCTCATTTCATACATACGTCGTCCGACCCGTCAGCCGGGGAACACTGTTGCGAAGACGATCACCATCACCACCATCATCATCAGCAGCAGCACCATCCGCACCAACATCGTTCGCTACGGTTCGCCAACATGGTAACGGCATCGGCGGCCATGTCGGGAGCCGACAGCGGTGATTGCAAAGCTGTTGTAGAGGCGGTTGTGGCGGACGACTCATCAACACCGGCCGACAGCCTGGACGACGCGTTGATCGTGGCGAGTAGCGGCCGATCAATGGACAACTGCAGTCTGCCTAAAAACTTGCAGCAACTCCGTGAAAAGCTGTACGCCCAAGATGACGACGACGAGATGAGCTATTGCGGTGGACGTGACGACGAAGACGACGACGATGACGGTAACCAACCGGTGGTGACCCGGTCGGAGGTTAGTGCAGTGGCCACGACGGCCGACGACGATTCGTCGGAAGACGGCTGTGACCGTGGAGATAACGACGATTGCGAGGACGACGAGGACGACGAAGGAGAGTACGCCACGCTGTCCGCACGCAGCGTGTGTTCGGCCACTACGGCGGCCAATGACGATTTCGAATATTTTGCGGCCACACCCGCCGTGGATAGGGCTGGTGGTGACCGTGGTTCCGAGGAGTCGCCGTCGTCGTCGATCCCGGGTAACCAGTCTCTGGGTGGTGGCGACCGAGTCCCCTATCAGCGGGCGCCGACGAGACGTGCCAAACACCACCAACAGCAGCAACAGCAGAAGCATCAACATCAACATCACCATCATCATCAGCACCACCATCAGCATCAGACGCACTTCCAGCAACACCACAACCAGCACCACAGACTAACGCGTGGCACGAACCCGGCACCGCCGATGCCACCTACGCCGCCGACACCGCGCAGACCCAGAGCCCGGCTTACGCCGGTCCTCTCCGTGGACTCGTTGGTCGCCGCCCAGGCAGCCGCGGATGCTGTCGCCTCGGGATATCCGCGCACCGCCCATCAACTTTTACAGCAGAACCATCATCACGGCAGCGGCCCCAGCAGACATCAGCATCGAGGTGCCAGCATCAACATAGCCGGAAAACGGCTGCAGGGTGGCAGAGGCGGCCGGGGTCATCACGGCGGCAGCGTGCCCGATTTGAAACGGGTGTTTATCACCGACTTCCTGTAAATGTCCGGGTCGCCATTAGCCTGTATTTTTATATACGTAGCCATTTTACTTCGTTTGATACGCTACCCGCGTGGGAAAACTACCGGTGTTGTTTGTTAGATTAGGTTATCTCTGCAGTGTATTTATTATCGGTCTATGAGGTTTTGTCAAAATATTAACACCGCCTGCACACACGGTCGTGTAAAATCATTATAAACTGGTTTTTTTTTTTTTTTTTTATAATTATTACCTATTTTTATGTCTGTTTTGTATATTTATAGGTACAATCCGGTTAAAAAATGTCTCTTTTTGTCGCGTCGACATGACGATGTTATTATTATTATAGTACTTATAGGTTATAGCGTTATGATATAATATATTTGTATAGGTACACACGAGATTATAGGTTAACTTTGTGTATACAGAGACACGTATTTATATAATATGTTATTGTATTATTGTCGCACAGACATATTCCATTCGTAAATTAATGGGCTGCGTCCATAAACAAAACGAGAGAGACAGAGAGAAGTGAAAAGTAATCATTATCGAGTAGGTGCCTAAAACATGCCGAAAAAATACTTTTTAGTCTTTCATGGAAAAATAAATACCGCGCAATACAAGACAATATCGGCATTTACTTACCACGATTTAGCATAATGATAATTATATACTAATGAATAATGATCTTGAATCCGAACTAATAACGTCGTATTTTAGTTCCTTGGCTACAAAGCATGCTGTAGTATGCTTACCTCGTATACCGGTTAATCTTTTTCGCTCAACGTAGGCAGGTACGGATGGAAGTTTGGTAGTTGAGGGAGGGCGTGAAAACCATGGAAACGCAGTCCGTTAGATTATGATAATAATATGCCTATGTCAATATATATTTGTATTATGTATTAACACGTATGACGTGTGTATCGAAAATTATTTATTTTAATCGTAAAAATGTATTTATGTGTTCGCTTTATTTTACGTGCCGAAGAGATTTATGATAATTATAAAACAACCGACTTGTACAAATTTTGTTGTAGACGTGTACAATCTTTGGCTGCATACGAATTGCGTCCCTAAAACGGAAAATTTTCGTTCTGATCACCAAATTACGTCCGCAATAATAATTATTATTCTATTTCTATGTGTTTGATTGTGCGTAAAGGTACTCGTAAATATTCGGGTATTAGTCTTAACGATAATTCATCGTATTTGTAAATGCCACCTAACAATGGATTGTTGAAAATTAATTTTGTTCATGTTGACATCAGTTACACCGCGACATAAAGAGTTTAAACGTACCTCCTTAGCAACAATATAACAATGGAAAATCACGAAACAATTAAATTGCAATTATAATATGTATTAATGAATACAAGTTTGTCTTCCAAACATTGTTAAATGGTAAATTTCAGAGGTGGTCGTGTGCAAAACCTCAGAGTAAATGTTATTTTAAATTGAATGAAAATAATGAAATAGTTCAGGAAGGAAAATAATATGAATACATCAGTTATTAACGGGGACCCAACTCGGATGTGTCGTGAGAAGACCACGGACACAAATAGGACGGAAAATCATTTTTTGAACGCAATTCGAATGCTTCGCAATCTCTCACCCGCAGGTTTTAATTTCTGCAAACGTCCGGCGTACTTATTTTTTTTTATAAAGGAATAGGATGATATTATTATTATTATTGTGGGCCTAGGGCATTTCTTTCCCCGCAGTGATAGAAAAGCAAAAATTCAGTAAACAATTGTCCCTTTTATTTTGACCTATCCGACGTGGTTTATTTAAGTAAAAAATCGAGGGGTATTTTTGGTCAAGTTCCACAACACGAATAAATGCTCCCAGACAATACAGTTTTGGAACATTGGAGGTTATGTTCTATGATTTGTTTCCCCGTTTCGGGTATACGAGGGGGGAAAGAACTGTCCCCGCCCCAATTATTATTATTTTTCGACGATTTTTATTTTGTTGTTTGTTTAATTTTAACACGTGGTGCCAATTTTATTTTAAGAATACCGTGCAGATATACGGCTTTACGCGAACTTATTTATTGTACGTTTATTATTATTATTTTTTACCTATTATTATTATTATTATTTTGTTTTTGTTTGCTTTTATATTATCATTATTAGGATTGCAAATCCTTTTATTATTATACATCTATTTTTTTTTTTTTAGATTTATACGTTGGTTATTTTATGTAACTATTTAGAATATTATATTGTATATTATATATTTAACGTTTTTAATTTGTATTATAATATATTCTAAACCATTAACCAGTTTTTGTTTGATATTCGACAGAATAATAATAATAATAACAACAATAAAAACCATCAATTAATGTCTAACTAACGAAATGAATAAATTTTTCTCTTAAACCTTATAAAATTATTATAATTTATCATTTATTATAGTATTGATGAAATTATTAACAAATTATAACGGGCAAAAAAGAGTTACCACGTCAAAATGTCTCGCAATAATGCATACGCCGCGGTATAAAAATCGCGAATACAAAACAATAAAATGTAAAAACCCGCGCTTTAAACATTATTTATTACGAATATTTTTTTATTTTTGATGACATTTATTATTTATCGTTGTAATATTATATAACAGATAATTTACAGTATAGTTAAAGTTGGTATTTATAATTGAGGCGCATATCACAAAGTAGTGGCCTGATCCACCAAAGTTAAGAAAATGACATATTGATAAGCTGTTTGGAATTATTTAAATTATACTATGTATAACTGATTGATTTTTTAGATTTTTCATGAAACAAAATTCAAACCAAATTTACCACCGTTTATGATTTAATAGAATATAGGCAACTTTTGCGGTCTGCGCCTCAATTATAATTAGAGCTGGCAGTGTAACGACCCATAAAACTCCATGCTCTAAAAATGCTCTAAAAAAAAAAGATGCAAATCATGTTGAAAATGTCATAAAAGTATACGAAATCCTTAAATATTCTCTTAAAGTATATAAAACTCTTAAAATCGAAAAAAAAATATAATGTAGTATATAGGTAAAATCGTTAAGTTATCAAATTCATTTTGCTAAAAACTAGTTTTTTTTTTTTTTGACCAGCTATTAAAATAAATTTGAAACTGCATTGTCTGACCAGAATATTCAAATGCGACCGAATACGACGGAGCATTCGTTATTCGAGAGAGATACACACCCTACATGTAATTAAAGTATTTTAAAACGGTCAAATATTTACGACATTTACGATATTTACGAGATTTACGACATTTGCGTCACCAGTGGTACATTTAAACGTACAAACTAGATATTACCAGGTATTTTTATAACATATTTTATTATTTTTATTGGTAAGGGTGAACTATACAATAAAATGTAAAGATACATTTTTTTTAGAAATTAATTTCAACTACAATAATGATTCTATATAATTTTTTGTCAAATATAATTTTAAGTAGTTATGCGACAAACCGTGACATTTAACATTTTTTAGTCAAACTTTGACCTTAAGTCGCCACGTGTTAACTATGTTCCATTAACCTCAAACTGGTCAGACACTATTTTTAGATGCATTGGAACAAATCCCCGGCCAGCGCTCTTCAAAATTAACAATTTCAAAAATAAGTGGCACCCTAATCACCACATTTGAGGACACCACCGCGCCGCTGCCACAGTCATACTCAGAGTATTCTTATAATTTCCATACAAAATTCCAATAAATATAATTTCATTATTAGCTATCTTCTATCTATACCGACGTGAATGTGAACTGCCCCTTTAAACTGACGAATAATAACGGATTTTTCGTTATACGGGAGGGATCCCTATCCCATATATTACTTTCAATTGAAACATTTCAATGCAAATTCCTAAAATGAAATATATGGATATACGACGTCTGTAAATGACACCACCGTCGTCGCATTCTCACACTAGATACTCTGGTGATTTATTTTCAAACAATATTTAAATCAATATAACGGGATTTTTTTTTTTTTACAGAATCTCAAGATTCTTGACCGCTCGAGAAATCCCAAAACCATCACTCTCGATCGAGAACCCCGTATATTACACAACAAGTACGCACCAACAACTTCTTTCAAAAATCTCTTGAATAGCTTACTCCGGCTTTTAACAGCTAATCACTTGTGTTTGATTTCTTTATTAATTTCGTTTAATAATTCAACCTTTTGCTTTTCTAATTTAAATATGAATACTCGTTGTCCGAGTGCAGTGCACACAGTACCTTTCTAAACTATCATCACTCTTATATTCAATTTATATTGGCTCCTTTCCTTGTGTTAAGTAATACAAAGTGAAGATATTATTTAAATTATAAATTTATTTTATTTTTTTTTTTTGTGTTAGTACAAAACGTTGAAAAGAAGAAAAAATTATCCGCGTAAAAATAAGAAACGAACTCCTATGCAAAAACGAAAATGCAATAAGTAAGAAAGTTTTTTGGACGATTTAAGTTTAAGCAGGCGATAAGTGTACAAAGTTTAACGGCAGTGTAATGTTAAGTGACAGAAATATAGTTTTAGTTAATTTAAAACGGCGGCGCGGTAGTTAACGAAAAGCAATTTGAGTAAAGTAACATTATTAAATTTAATATTTCAATTTTCTTGCAGATTTATTGACAGCACGTTTCAACGAAATAAGTCACAATAATATTATACACTGGTCGGTGTATCGCAGTTACCAAACAGCAAGAATTTCAACACTAATTATTTATAATAAAAATAAATTAAATATTTATAATGGAAACCATTTTTATTGAAATGATTATTTGGAAAAGGTTAGGTACCAATATTATACATAATAAGTAGTGGCGAATATAATAGACATGGGCGGACGTCGGCCGTAATTGAGAATATCGGAACATATTGAGTTTTTTCAAACCTGACATTTAACCCGATATTTTCTGAGAAAAAATGTTTATAATGTTTATTCTTTTTAAATATTATTATTAATCTGTGTTAATTGTCCGATGAATGATAATTATGTGTCCATTGACTCTTATCAGTTATTATTGTAATCAGTAAGTAACAATAGTCTCCAACAATCGGGTTTTATTTCCGATGGGATTTATATGCTGCTCCGTTGTCAGCCACTGCTAATGATCTACATTTATGAACACCACCGATTAAAATTACGTTGAGTTTTTGAACACGTTTTGTTGTTTCGATGACAAATATCGCTATCGCTGTATTTTCGAAGGTACGCGACATGTCGTATAATAATATGTTCGTGGTTGTATAACATCATCGATTTGAAAACATTTTTCATTTTGTATTTATCTGATTAATGATATCAAATATTTTATTAGTGTACTGGAATGCACTGTATACTGTGTCGTGTTTAGGGATAGTAGCTCGGATGGGCAATTGCCCAAGGCGCAACTTTCAAGGGGTGCCGAAACA